GGGGGTTGTCAAGTGTTTTAACCCCCCATTCGGGTGGGTTAGTTTAGTTTCTTACTCAATAATTTAAAACACAACCAACCCCTCCGATGGGGGATTGTCAAGTATTTTAACCACCATTCGGGGGGTTGTTTAGTTTCTTACTCAAGGGTTAAAACAATTGAATGACACACTGAACTAACCCTTCCGAAGGGGTTTATTTTAGTGTCTTACTCAAGATTTTAAAACGCAACGCAATGTTTAAACCCCCCCATTCGGGGGTTTAGTTTAGTTTCTTACTCAGGAGTTAAAACACTTGAATGAGTCACTAAACTAACCTCCCGAAGGGAAGTTAGTTTAGCGTATTACCTAAGATTTCAAAACTCAACCAACCCCCCAGTAGGGGGGTTGGTAAATTGTTTTAACCCTCTATTCGGGGCGGTTAGTTTAGTTTCTTACACAAGGTTGATGGCGTTTTACAAACTTGACCAACCCTCCCTAGGAGCTCCGAAAGGAGCGCCCTGCTCTAGTGTTGATAAAATCTTAACAGAAAGCTTAGTCACGCAACAATCTACATTTTACGTCTTCGAGATTTAGCTGGTCTGTTTTAACAGTTCGCTTTCGCTGGGGAATTTGCTTTGTATCAAGGTAGCCAGATTTAACGTTTCGCTGGAATCTGCCTTGATATCCATCCTCTTCTGTAAATAAACTAGTCTAAAATCGTGCAAGAGAGAGAAAGAGAGAGTTACGCTGTTACATTTTATGAAAGGAAGTCTTCGTGACGTTTCGTACGCGTATTTATATTGGACCATGAGTAGATTTCCCCCCCCCCCCTTCTTCCAAATATGTCCCGGATCAGCACAACCTGGCAACGTCGGAAACCGTATAATTTTATCTCGGACAGCTCCCAATTTCTACTGTTCTCAACAATGGGATGTCGTTTTAACAATAAAGCTAATTGGAGTCATGAGGTTTTCCCAACACTTGACTTAGGGCCTTGGCTTCTGCGTAGCTTTGGGAATCTTATTTTATCAGTTTTGAGGAGTTACTAGGTTTTATTTTGGGTACAGTAATACGTCGACACACTCTTGAGTTCTGTGGGAAAATGGGAGACATTCATCTTGTGTGACCTACAAACTTGTTGAAGCTCGGAAACTTTCTGAAAGCTCTCTGGTCACAGACGCCTCGAAACGTTGCCCGTGTATACGTACGAGGGACCGTGAAATAGTGAAAGTGCACCTCAACAATGATGTTGGCAGAACAGAGAGAAATGGCGTACTAAACAGTGTGACCACTTTGCAAATATGAAAATTCCCTCTTGTGCACAGAGTTGTCAGTTTAGCTGTGACAACTTTATTGAGGGACTTCGAAAAGAAAAGAAAAACACCCTTGTTTTAAGAATTATCTAAGGATACACGAAAGTGGTTTCAGTTTTTGCTGAAATTGGTGTCATTGCCTAATAATAATGTGAGGCGTGTTCCTTTCGTCGCGAAGCGTCTTTGAAAACATCGGCTGATTAGGTTACATCTGTGTTTAACCCGACAAAGCCCAGTGGTAACTATATGTACCATCTGCTTTAGCTATCAGTAACAATGCATTTTGCATTTACGTGTTTCATGTGATTCTCTGTATATTTCTCCGATGGACTCTCAACAACGTCCTCGGCGGTGCCAGAGCTCAGGCGGTTAGGTTGCTGGCTTCTCACCGCGGATAGCCGGATTCGGTCCCGAATTATTTAAGCGACATTAATGGCGGACGAAATGACACTGGATCAGATTTGTCTCAGAGTTTCTTACTCCCCCCCGCTAATCATCACTGCCCCACGCAGTGCGCGATGGCCCAGACCAAGAGGCTCGGCCCTCCCAATTTGGGGGCGTCATCTGTGACCTGACATTTGGATGATCTCGGAGGAACTTTTTAGTTTTTAGTAATTTTGTGACAAAATGAAAGCGATGCGGCGATGGAAGGGCATCGACTGCATATGGTCTGGTGGCTCGCTGTTTTGAACACGGTGAAGATCTTCAGCTACGTTCAGCTTCTCAGGAGAGACCCTGCCTGCTTCGCGTAGTTGACCCGCGGGCCACAGTCGTTGCAGGTTTCTACAGAAGCAGAACACTTGCTGAAGGGTGACGCTTATGAACCCTCCGGTAGGGGTTGCTGCTGAGCCTCTGTGAGAGGGTTAGCAGATCCATTTCCCACGCACTGTAGCGTGTCAAGACTGACACACACCTGTTTAATGCGTTGTTGTCCTGATGGAGCGTCTGTTCGGAGCTGCTAGTTGCTCGTCCATTCAGCGCACTTACATCGCCATGGCAACGTGTCTTTGTCATTGGACGTTTCGCGAAAATTGCGATTTATCAGTTCTCGCTTCGCCAGTGACGACAAAGAAACAACGAATTGGAACGAAAACTTGATTCGGAAACCCCCCCCCCCTCCCCATGCTTATTTTAGCGCCTTCACAGCGAGAAGTTGTTAGCTTCGCCAAACCTGTCATCAGGTGATAGGTCGAGAGCCTCTGAGCCGATATTCTCGGTATCACCCTGATGATGCAGGCAGTATGCTCCCCCGAAACGCCTCTCGGTATCTGCCACATTACGCCGTGAGAACCTAAAATCTCACCAAGGTTTCTTTCAGTGACAGTAATGATACGAGATGGTGTGCAGTGGTGGTTCCACATGAACTCAATAGCTTAGCCGTATGGTGGCCCTTTTTTTCAGCGTAAGAATTAGGCGACTTCACCACGGCGTTGCAGGTGTGTGACGTCACACAGCGTGACCAGTTGGCCTGCAGGTTACATTTTTGTGAACCCAAATCGAGGGTAGAATAGGCGGGAAATGCTTAAGTACTTTGTTTCCAAAGCCCCCCAAGGTTGGAGATCGCGTGTTAGCCGTAAGTCTTTTTTTTTGGAAGGATAATATTAAAACGGATTTAAAATACGTAGAGTGTGAGAATGTGGACTTGAGTCATGTGGCTCGGGATGTGGTACATTGGCACTATTTTTGTGTACATGGTATTGAAACGACAGAACGACCGATCCATTTGAACCGATTTTAAGTAGAACATAACATAATCGTCTTTCACCTGATGGCAGGGGAGGGGGGGGCTATAATGACGTTCGTGGAGATCACATCCTGTGGTGTGGGAACTGGGGCGGAGGACATCCATGTTACTGACATGGGAGCAACACAGGAAAACAGCTGACCGATTTATCTATTAAATGTTTAAAGCCAAGTATTGGTCTCGTTCTTGATTTTCGGTGTTCGTTGCTGGTATTTCGGCGGATAACTTGGACTTTTAGGGATGATCCGCGTCTGATGTATAGGTTTTTCGACGTTTCGACAAATATTTCGCTTTTACGTCTTTGAGAATAATTTTCGGTTGTCCCCGCGTACGCTGATGGATGTGCTTCTCAACCTGAACGCCAAGTTTGGCCTCGATGGTCATCCCAAAACTCGCGTAATCTGGAAACACCGACCCCTCCCTGTTTTGAATATTTCCCATTTCGTAAACTTCGCCCGTGTCCCATGAAGTTACCGTTAACTGACATATTTTCGTTGCCCGAGTTTCAAATCTTGTCGGAACGGAATTCTTTTAAAAAAAAAAATCTCCGTCGAATAATCCCACACGCGGGGCGATGCTCATTCTTTTCCGCCATCGTCTCCATGGTGAGCTTATAAAATATTTCGTTACCAACAACAATACACTGCAAGCTGCCATTTGCTTTCTGGTCTATTGTAGTCTTTGTTTACGAAACTACTGGCCGTTCTTGCTCACAGAGCGTGACGTCACGCCCAGTTAACATCTCGGGTCCCCACCCCACCCCCCGGGGGTACCACCTGGCTTAAACATTTTCTGCAATTAAAACCAAAAACCAGTTGAGAACCTGGACAGGTTTGTGTTTGCCCGAGGACTTTTCGGATCAGATGTCGCATGTGCATAAACCGTGTTATTATGTCCAAAGAAAGGGTTGTTTTGTGCGCCCCGGCTGAAAATGGCTCACATCTCAGGGGGCAGTGGCCTGCCATGCCACCCCATATTTTTTTAACAGGGGTGGTTCAGTCTGCATATTTGATGTTTGTCAACGTGTGTTCTTTCAGATCACATGCGTCGGGACCACGTGGTAA